TCGAGTGAAATATGGGAACTAGGGCGAGGGCAGATGAATCTTATAGGACAAGAGAGAGACTGTGATAAGATCTAGGACAGGAGGACTGCGTAACAATATGGCAGATTATGATCAACATTCCCAGCACAAGGGTGAAGGGAGTGAGAACGACAGTGTTGAGTGTGAAGGATTTTCATGAATGCTGCTCTAAAAGCACATCACACTACATTTAAATAGGCACGGTAAAAAATTGTGACAGTGAAGGCCGGATAGGAGGATATAGGAAATGTGAATAGCCCAGGGCAGATGGGGAGATACACAACTGTTTAGCACATGTTTGGTCAAAGGATCGGCTTCATATGTATATTTGACGAGTTGTTGTGTGGTGCTAAAATGGCAAGACTCACTGACGATGCCGGTTAAGCGTCTGTGAATGTACCACGTCCACGGTCCGACTTTGGAAATGATCATGCATACAATGGACTCCGGACTACATGTGTTCCTCTAAGTCTTCCTACCAATATAAAAAAAGTTGCGAAAACAAGGTCAAATAACTTATATACAACGAAAGGATACCGCGACCACACAAAAGGACACACCATCTTGGCCTTCATATCTCTAATAAATTAGAGTTTATGATAAAACCGGATGCAATTCGCCTACTTTCGTTCCGCTGCTTGTTTTCGTGACGATTTCATAGAACATTTACGCAATAAGATTAAATAACGAACTAGTTTATTTCCTATAGCGAAAACACGAATTGCCTTTTTAAAGTAACTCTTTAGGCTACAATTAATTTAATAATCCTATCTTACCTATTAGAATGTCTATAGCCTTATAAAACCATTTGTATTCTTTTGCAATACAATTCGAAATTTGAGACTTGTTCGCCAGGTTTCATCAACAGTGTTATTATGTAAACTCGTACATAACTATTCGCTCGCCAACTGATATACAAACCGGAATGCTATTATATTGGTTCGAGCTTGTTTTCGCACCTTGGTCAGAGCGTCAGGGAGACCTTGTGGACCATACCTATTCCCGTGTCCTTTCCCATAGTATTCGTGATTTAAAGCATTGAACCATTGGCTGGGTACATTCCCAAACGTTTCGCTGGCATCGTCAATGGGAGGCGCCATCGTAAGCACAGAGTTACTTTTGGGAATGTACCCAGCCAATGGTCCAATGCTTGAAATCACGAATACTATGGCAGAGGACACGGGACTAGGTACATTCCATAAGGTCTTCCTGACGCTCTGATAAAGTTGCGAAAACAAGGTCGAACCAACACTATAAAGCTAAAGTAGACTGCGACAAAACTGAAGGCCACCCCATCTTGGTCTTCATATCTTCGGAATACTATTGCTTATATTAATATTATGCATCTGCCTTTCCCTCCGCCCTGTGTCGACAAATTCTCTTCATTCATGACTTGTACTTTTTGAATGTGTCTTAGGTTTTGCCCTTCTCGGCCTCCAGAATTCCTTTCTAACTAAGTTTTAGGATAATGCTTATCCACTTAAGTGACTGATATGCTTTTATTCTCGTCGGATAGCTATAACTGGAGACTTAATTAAAATCGAAAAAATTATACTAAGTTAAATGCGATTGGAAATCTCTGGCCGATGAACCAGGAATCCAAATCGCTTAAAGAACTAAACCTGCTTTTAAATTTTTTCAATGGTTTGGCAATCCTACTATCAAGTATACAATCTGACGCTGGTAATTACCATAATTACACTAGTAGAGGCCTTCGGACAAGTTGAGTCCTTCGAGGTGCTCATGACAGCAAGTC